CTACTGACACCCATTTGGCCACAGTGATACGCACTCAGTGTCCATCTTGCCATCACCCAGAGTGAGCGCGCCATCTCCGCGACTCACCATTGCACGTGAGCCCGTGTAACTCCACCGACGGACAGCAGAGACATAATTGCTATATACCTCACAGCTCATAACCACAACAGGTTTAGCTTAGGTGCAGACCTAAGCGGAGTTTGGGGGCGTATTAGGGAGAGTGTTACATATTATCTTGTATAAGTGACTAATTTTCACTTGGCCACATTACAGTGGATCTAGGAAGGAATATGAGACGACGAAGCAGAATTGCCAAGTGAGAGAGTCAGCTAGATGGCAAAGATGACGACGGGCAATGGCGGAGCAATATGTCATTCTCACCAACGGAGTACGTACTGGATGAGCTAGAAGGATGCACAAATAATCATTACCCGTAGTTGTGGTGCTTCTATCTTCATATAGTTTAATCTTTCTAAAAGTACACTACAACCAGCTTGGTTTCGTCACAAGAGGTCTAGCAGCGAGTATTTATACACAAAGACAATACATAAAATATACCATCAATAGCAATAACTCCCAACCATTCAGCCATTCAAAAACTATGTCATTAGATATATCTGCGTCATATTATCATGTATGGTTGAGATACTGGTGTTGTCATTGCTGTGTGCCGATGACGTATCAATGACATGGGTTTGCTTTTCCTGTCGATTACACGTGCCTAATACTAGCCATTCCAAGTTGTGATCTATAAGTGGGCCTGATCACAACACTCTGAGCTTGGTCGCCCACTAAGCTGACCACATTGTTGTTGCCGTGTTGTGAGGAGGATTACTTAAGAATGCCGCTGAGGTTTGTGATAAAAATATGAGCTTCTGTACTGCTTCGTTCCAGCGAAGCCAGTTAGAATTCCTTAAATTTGTAATTGAAGACATTTCGGCGATACTTTTGAGTCGTTCTGTAAGTTTCCATATCTCAATCTTTTTGTTTGATTCTTTCAGAGAGTCTTTGAAATCATCAGCGCTCGCCAAGACAATTCTGTGGATTATGAGTTCCTCATCGGAAGATTTTCTAGCAATTGTTTTGAGTCAGCCGCAGGTTCACTAGGCGCAAGACTCGAGGCGTAGGAGAGAGCGTGGTGTGCGAGTTTCGGAGGAAGGACGGCTCGCAGGAACGCGGTGAGATTTCTAGAGAAATGGTAGAAGGTAACACGGGGATCGTTCTGGGTAGAGTAGCCGGAGTTGACGTAGTTCATAGAGGATGTCAGAGGACGAGACTGAGATGGGGTTAGAATTTTTTTTAATTCATTTTATTGTTCTGCCTGAGTCTATGACTATGTAGGACATGCAGGTCCTCTCTGCCTACAGGCCAAGGATACCTTTACCAGTAGTATATCTCCTCCTAAGTCTCCCATACAGCTCCACTCAAATAGTACCATCCCTCACTAGTTCTCATTCGATCATACACTTAGAGGAGCCCTTAACCCTTCATTATCTCCCCTCTCCAGCCAACGAAACGATGGCCATTTGCGGGTGTATGGCAGCAGGGAAAAATCGCAAAAACCACTGGGTACGGGGCACTTCCAATACCGAAATTAGGACTTAATTCGAAGACATAGTGATCCTTCTGGTACGTTAGAAGAGGCTGGCCAGCTGGGCGCTGCAGGCTTGTGGGTACCTCGGGAAATTCGCTCTCTGCCTTTCTAGCCTCCTTCCAACTCCTTCCCGAAAGTCGTGCTGAAATGTCAGAAAAGTCTTGACAGAGCATGATTGCTGTATAGTAGCTTAGCCTAGCATGTTTTGTGCCGTCCAGGGTGCTGGGGAGTGCCGTTGACTCATCGACGAAAGAAGCCCTTCTGGCTAATTAGTCGATATCTCGGTCTTGGCGCCCACAAAAAATCCAAAGTTGAAAACTCCTTGAAAATGTCAGACCCAACACGGTCTTCAGAGACTTCTTTCCCCTCTCGCTCCACATCTCAGCCGCCTGTCCTTCCTCAAGATGTATAACCCCATTAGAGCAGCAGTCCCTCATAAACCAGGACCCCAACTTTGTACATTATGACTTAATTTCCTCCTTGCGGGTATACATAGCGTCGTAAATTTGTAGTGAGTGATGGCCGGTGATGAATGAGGCAAGCTCCTGTTTGCAATTGGGGTGACGCCTTTATCGGTCGTCGAGGCGAGATGATATGTGGTTAGACCGGGGTTGAGGACTCAGAAGATAATGGTGAGTGCTGCATGGTTGAGAAGTCGTCAAATGGAGATATGCATGTGTTTGCTTTCGACTTCGATTCGGATGCAATTCTTCTTAGCTATCACAGATACGCAGAGCATACTGAGCGATTACACCGGCACCACTGGAAGGTGAAGAATTCGTCTTTGCCGGCGGATTAGAATTATGTAACTATGTGAAGGGACTAATCACATTAGCTATTCGCATGAAAGTATGTCGTACATTAATTTATGTTCCGTATAAAGAAGTACTACGAAGACTACATGGTTATCTACTCAATACCGCGCGTCGCGTATGGATCAATGCAGGAGTTATCCTTTACACAACTCCGTAATCCAGACAAGTCATGTACTCCAAGACTTCTCGATAAATAAACCGGGTAAACTCCGGTTATAACTAAACAAGGCACTAGCCTGTTAAAAACTATTCCTAAATACTGAAAACAAAGCGTGAAGCTCTCAGTCACGGAAATGAAAACTAATAAATTGGCCTCGCTAGACAATAAAGCCTAGTGGGGATGGCAAGACTGAACACCTGTACGCGGTGTCTGTTAAAATTTCTATCATGACATCGACCCATGCAAACATAACGTATGATAGTAACTCACATTGATACTCAGGATTGCGATTGATAGCAAAGATTGATTGTGTTTGTGGCAGTGCGGGATTTTGTAATCAGTGACAGGGATATGACACGTATATATATATATATCGCGCACTTATCCAATTGGTATGAAGGTGCTTCCGACTACATTCACAATGCCCATACTTACTCTGAGCTAATCACCCCTCACTATGTCGGTCCTGTCTTCTAATTAATGCCCTTTTCGCTCTTTTATCTTAAATGACATGTCATGATATTCTTCGTCTAGCTGGCCATCATCATGCTCAGAGTTGTGGACAGATTAAATCTTCAACAGTGTCCTCTACGAACCTGGGAGTAAAATATTCTCTCAGAGCCAAGTTCAGTTAAATTTCGCAATATCTAAGAAGTTGGCCCACGAGGGAATGATTCAATCTACTCCACCACGTCGTTTTTTCGCTTCCAACGAGTTCGGCTCCAACCTAAGCCTCATCAAGTCTACTAATACGACCAAGTACATCCTCATCTCAATGACCACACCTCTCGTCGACTCTCTCTGGCTTCAACTGGTCGCCAAAATACACGTCCACGTCTATATTTACACCCGACGGAGGAAGCAAAGCGTGGAGCACAAATGTGGGAGACAGCTCTTTGGGATGGACGTGAGAGGGATCAGGACAAGTTCACAAGCTGATGCAAAGGAAGGATACAAGCTCGACGGGTGTGTTATTTTGAGTTTTGGCAAGAGTTTTACGAATTGAGATTTGTGTGCGCCAAGACTTCGCTTGCGAGAGTGCAGTTGACAGTATAAAAACAAGCAAACGATGGAAGGTGTTGCGGTCTGCCTCCTGGTGATGTTCTCCGGTATAGTCTGAGTAGCCTGGGCACCTATTCCACTTGGGAAGGAGACATCTCAGATCACTTTCGCGAGGAGAAAAGTAAATGGTTGATGGAGGCATGTCTGGATGATCTGGGTCTTTGAGACGTTCCCCTGGGTGGGTATTCACGGATGAGGGTTGACTTGGGGTGAAGAAAAAGCCACCATAACTTCGCAGTGGTACTTGCAAATGAAATCTGAGGCATGAGTGCTCTATTTTTAAATGGAATCATCAATTCTGTACTTTTTCTTGGATATTGTGTCATAGATAGATAGCTTCATACGTAATTTAAATCTGATGCAAAATAAAGAGTTTCACCTGGGTTAGAGAGAAGCACGCTATGTTGGATAATCACAAAGTTAAGAAGCACAACAAATGCCAAAAATACCTGAAGCTTTGATTAGAATCTAGGCTTGTTTTTGTGAGGAATCAAAGTCAGGAGAAATCTACTCTACATTTCTGGATGGCATTGCTAACAAGTCTTCAGTCTTCGTGGTTTGATAACTTATTTACGTTTCGATCCCAGTTTTATAGTGCATGATAGTCATCTAGTGCTCAAAGTTAATAAAGATGAGTAGACTTACTGCTGTAGAGAGTCCAGCATCGCTCAATTGAGTACTTCAGCCAGAGTATTTACCGTTAACAATAGAAATCGGGCATTCCTTCTCGAAGCTAACCGCCAAAAGAAATATCATGTCAGTAGTAAATGGACATATTACCGATTGATTTAAATATGTAATTATCTTTATCTACATTGACGCGATTTTATATTTATGATATGGCCTTTCTTTAAATCGGCTGTCTCAAATTTATTATTCTTGCTTAAGTTTACAGCAGCTAACTTGAAGCTTTTTTCTATCCGTTTTGAACATGAGCCAGCTTCATGTATGAAATCTCGTAACAGTACTTTCTAGCCATACTTCACAATTAAAACCCTCTTCAACATTCTCTTAGGCTTCTTTGCCTAATGTATCCTAAATCAGTGGGGTAATTATTCAATAGAGTCCCTGGGTAGCTTATGCTCACAAAAGAGTACATGAATTAATCTACATTAATCCTCAAAGTGAGAAATCGTCTAAGTCTCAAACTACACCACATTAAATATATCCCAACACCATCTTCATATAATGCTACAAGATTATTTTTTCTTTAGTACCAATTATACTTTTTGTTTTCCCTACTTAGATCCGGATGGTTAATTTCCAGGATCCCATACGATGTCTGCGGTAAATGAAATTCACAAAATCATATTTTATTCGACATTGCATAGACGAATTGACTCTTCTGTAACCCAATGCCTATACCCAGTCACACTTTTGGCTCGCTAAAGCCAACCTGATGCCAATTTTCAGCTCCTGATTTAGCTGTCAAAATTTTATCATTGGCAGCAGCAATGCTAGATTGCCCAATATGATTATAGTGTTGCTGAACATCCATAGATCCTAGCCAGTAAAGTGAAATAAAGACTAACACATGAAGTGCCATACAATAGCCTGCAAATATGTTGCGACTAGTACGTGTTGCTAGGACCAGCCTCGTGATTGAAAAAACGATCCTTTCTGGAAGTCGCATACGCTTGTGTGCACGAGCAGACTCTCTGCCTCTAAAGGCAGCAAAAGGAGACAAACGAGACTCATACTCAGTGCGATATCGATCTAATGCCGGTCCAGATGATTTTGAGTTGTGCATTTGAATTATCGAAGGGTTTGGACTCGATGAATATGTTGCACTAGATGAAGCTGTAGGTCCTGTTCTGTTGTACGTAGAAATATACCTTGTCTTCTCATATAAGTTCAGGTTGTCTTTTTGAAGGGATGAAACTTGGTGGCGGAGAGACGATATTGTTCCCTGGGCCTCGGAAAGTTGGTTCTCAAGATTTGTATTCAATTTTTTGAATCGATCACGCTGTGCAGTAATCATTGGCAGTATACCTGATCCACCTCCTACCGGCTCACCAGACCTTAAGGATTCCAGGGAAGTGGTACCCATAGAAGACTTTGGATCAAATCCAGATATGATTGAAGAGGTGGGCGAGAGACGGCCTCGACGATTCGCATTTATTGAAGAATGAGGATACCGAGCGAAGTGTGTTCCGGCAACAGATACAGCCGATGGGAACGTATTCACACCCTCGTGGACGCTTGCAAGATCATTCTCCAGCGTTGTATTAAGCTTTTGAGCTTTTTCTAACTCAGTTCTAGTGTTAGAAACTTCTTCTTGCAAACTTTGAATTTGTTTGACTAAATCAGTGTGGGACACCCGAAGGATTGTCAGCTCATCAGTTATTTTCTTGTTCCGCGATATAAGAAGTTGCTCCAGCGTATCACCTTTGGGTGAGTTGTTTTTTTTGGGAGGCTCTTCAGTATCCTCGTCATCAGCCAGAGAAAACTCGACGCTCTTAAGAATGTCTAATTCATTTTTAACATCCTCGTAATCGCTCCATTTTTGAACCTTAATTCTCAAGTTATCTCGGTCTTCCTTGAGCAAGGAAATCTCCCGTTCAAGTGAACGCAGTTTATCTTCTAAATCTCGCTTCTTACTTTCTCTTTCAACTCGCGTAGCCTCAATCTTCCGTAACAGTGAAGCATTCTCGGATCGAATGCGTAGATATTCGAGATCATCTTCAAGTTTCACAGGTTGCTGGTTTACCAATTGAGAAGCTGACTGGGCAAGTTCGAGTCGAAGTTGTTCATTGCGAGCTTCCATTTCAGCAAGTCTAGCGCTAGTCCTCTCTAGATCGGCATTTATTATTTCCATCTCTGCATTAGTGACATGAGATATCTCATCACCCCCATTGCTGAATGATTCACCGAGCCTTTGGGTGACCTCATAGCTAGCTTTGAGGTCATGGAGGAGTCTTTCTTGATTTTCGACTTTTTCTTCGAGTGACTTTTCCTTGGCTTCCCAATTATCTTTTTTTTCCTCTAAAACAGCCGTCCAAAAGCTCTCTACTTCCTTAGTCTTGGATTCCAGCCCCTGTTCAATGGATCTGCGTGTTTTTCTCTCTGCTTCTAGGCGTGTTTCGGTCTCCTCGAGGTGTGCAGTTAGATTCTTGACGCTCTTTTGCAGCTGGCTATTCTCTTCTTTGATCTTTGGTAGTGTATATTCTGTTAAAAGTAGAGATTCAACGGATGCTTCAAGAAGAGGGTATGGATCCGGAGCTTCTGAAAGTGATGAGTATACTGAGAGAAAGGCTGAGTTTGTCGACTTTATGTGATTGGTCAGTAGGTCGATGAAAGTTTGATAGTTCTTCAGCAGACTTTTTACTTCAACAATCTTTGTAGAGTCATCAAGTCGACGGAATTCCTTGGTGCGTTGTGCTAGCTCTTTTCGTTGAATAGTACAGTCGCGCTGATACTGTACGATTTCAGAGGCAGTCGAGTCTAATGAGGATATTAAGGATGTGAGGTCGATGCCTGATTATTGATTAGAGCCCAGCAAATAGAGTGGATTAAGATCGCATACTCCGCCATGCCGATATTGCTTTCTGAAAGTTGTTTGTCTCTTCTTGTTCTCCTTGTTGATCAGCAGTAGGTTGGGCTATAACGTCTCTGTAGAGAGAATCATCAATTGCCAGATCGGCCATTATGAGTGAGAGATGTAACACTTGGGCATGATACTGGGAAAGTTGTTCGCGGGTGTTCACATTCTTGGGCTGTAGGAAGACTAGAGCCAGGCCAGTTCCCATGATTACATGGATTTACGTGTTCAACGCTCATGGATCATTTTAGCGAACATTGATTCCAACTACGTTATCCCTGTCAGAAGCTACAGACGGCGTCTTTCGAACAAAATAAGTCAATTTCAGATATTAGAGATACCATAAACCAACAGAAAGATTCTCCTCTCACGCTCTTCCAGACAGTAGAATTTAGAAGTTCTACCGAATCCTCTTAGCAAGGGTAGATCCATACCACACAGTACCAATAAAGCCAGCTAGGTTACAAAGCGTTGAAAGACTATGTAACGTCCCAAATCTAAGGTTTAGCTTTTCCATCTGTTCCGAGTGAGGTCCTTGATCAGTACATTTCTTGTTTTCTCGAGTCTCTGTTGATTAAAAGTTAATATATCAAACATAACCATTAATGAATGGTAGACGCACCTTGTATTTTCCTTTCTAACATTATACTGGTAGTTGCAGGCCCAATTAACAAGAGGTTTAGGCTGCTCGTGATGAAAGTCGTGGCTAAAGGGATAAAAGTTCCCCATTTATCACTTCGAGCCCCGTTAAACCCAGATGTGATAGTTTTACCCCCAGGAAACGTGAAGAAGAGTAAAGCTGATAGGGTTGTCTGTAGGGTAAAATAGATAGGGAATAACTTTTGTTGGAGTCGTGAGAACTCTGGACGAGTGAGGACCTTATACGCAACTATGCTTCCAATGAATGACTTGGTGTAAATTAGTAAGGCAAGTTACTTCTTGGAATGTTATTTAGTACCTGGAAGAATTGAGTTCCGGACAGTAATCCATATACTGTGATGTGATAAGGAGCGCGCGTATTGAAAAGCGACACATCAGACATAGCTGTAGTTTCTTGATAGTTGTGGATAGGGAAACTCGGAGAAATATGAATCAATCAATACTATGGCGGATAGACCTGATGCGTCATCGATTAGTGATGATCAGCTTGCCGAGGAAGTACGTCGATTTTGGTCAGATAGCGCAGTGGTATATCTTCTAGTAGGTCTTCAGTAAAGCTAAGTTTGTTCGACGACATTAAAATTATACGACAATCTTTACAGTTTTTGTGCAGAACATGAGGATATTCTTGTGTAATGTGATGGGCTATGCCCGTATTAAGACTGGACATTACGATCAGTCCGTCCAAGAAGTTAAGCTCCAATATAGCAACCCTTAAGGAAGGATCTATATGGTGCACATGGATGAATCAAGGGATGCACGCACCAGATGGGCAGTATGATACATGAGAAAAGATAAGCTGGGGAGAAAGGATTATACTCAGGTGGCCAAGGTGGGGGTTAAGACTAGTCTACGCAGAAGATATAAAGGATAGGAGAAGACGTGGTGGTATATCTCTCCTAGGAAGAAGTCATTAATTCCTATCGATTTATTGTCTTTCAAGTATTTCTGAATTCTTCAAACCTTTACAGGTAACCAGGTTTTAAGAATCCTATTGGTGAACACCCGCGGACAAGGGTAGCCTACATGTCATAAATGGATACACCACGGTGTGGTATTTGCGCATGAAATCCAGAGTATGAGTCTCTCTGGATTCAAAAGAGATATTCAACATGTAAAAATAGCACTTATGATGTATCATAGATAAATGAATAAACATAAAATTACTTCAAAAATTCATTCTGAATTAAATTGATCGAGGGTAGACCACTTTTTTGGGATCTTAGTTTTATCTGCATAGCATTGCATAGCTATACATTATACATTTTCAATTTCTAAATAATATTTTGACCTAATTTCATTTATATTTGTCGGAATACTCGGGTGGTATTTATATCACACGCCTTCTACAGCAGTAATAAGTCCTTCATAGTCTTAGACTCAGAAGGGAATATAAAATTATTTTGGCCTGTAGCAGTAATAAAAATTGGCGGTTAAAATGTATCTTTATTCTTGTCTCTTTAACTAGAGGAAACACGTATGTACTCCCAGCGCCGCCAATATTATCAGAATCATCGGGGTCGACCACAAGACCACAGGGGGACTATACTCAACACCTGTCAGCGGTGTCCCCTACGAACCTCCAGCTCTCACTGTAGAGTCTGCAGAGCCGAGATTGAGTAACAAAGTCCTCACTTCGATGAGGATTCTCATTCGCTTCCGCCGTCTGTATTGTCTTCATCCCTAAGCACATCCCCTATCACCACTATCATGAAGCTGGTCACGATCAGGTCATATGTCAGGGTCGAAGCCCTTCTCATCATCAACCCTTAATCATGGAGGAAAAGCCACCCGAAGAGTTTCCGAAGCGTACCCAGCACCCGATACGGCGATGTTGGATTAGATCAAGTCGGCCTCGACTGTTACAAAGAAGGGAGATATAGATGAATATGCGCACCTCATGTGGTCCCGGTGTCTAGGCCTCGCCTGGCTGGGGCTGCAGGTTTTTTGAGACTTTTTCCCGCGCACGCAGTTTCCATTGCTACCATTTTTTTTTTGTTTTTTTTTTTGGGTAGAAGGTTCCGTGGAAAAGGTGGCTGAATTCCACGGGTAAATACTGAGCTGAATGGCTATTCATCACGGGCAATATACCAATGATCTTTCAAGTAACAAAAGAGGATAGGAGCACTGTACAAGGTGTGGCTTGGGTCAGAGGGGAGCCCAATGTGCTAGATAGTCATAGACTCAAGTAGCACAATAAACACAAACACACCACAAGACCACAGGCATCACTTTTCGACACGCGAGGCAAAGGCAAGTATGCCGAGGTATGCTTTAGCTAGTTCTGTCTCGAACTAACTGCCAGTTACACTTCCAGTAGCTAGCAAAGGAATATAAATGTTTAATTCTATGGAGAAGGGGGGTTCTATCGTAATTGTCGATAACAAGATCATTTTTGGGCAGTCTGAATTGTTCTCTGTAATTGTGGTATTCGGATTGTCGTTAGGACATTGACAGGGATCCGACATAGCTCATTAGCGTGGCGCTTGGATTAAAGGAGGAAAGGGGAGATGGAGAAGAGAAGGTGAGAAAACGTTTCATTTATTTCGAGATTACCAGTTATTTGATTATATTCACCGACTTCATGACGGAACCCAATTTGTATTACTTCGTGTTTTACCAACAATAATAGGTTCCCCCTCATGTATAAATATAGTTAGGTTTGTAGCTGTAAGCAGACTTGTGCTTGCATAAGTCTGGATCCAGTCCAAAAGCGAAAGCACGATCTGCGTGCAGGCATGTCAGACTAGTCATGATGATCAGGGGCATCAATAGGGTAGAACTAGATATTATAGTGCTACGATGGACTCGTATTTTTTTTTTTTTTTGCATCACATTTTAATTGCGTATGCAGCTATCTAGCTATGACACAATATCAGAGAAAAGTACAGAAAAGATGACTCAATTTATAATAGGAGCACTCATGCCTCAGATTTCATTTGCAAGTACCACTGCGAAGTTATGGTGGCTTTTTCTTCACCCCAAGTCAATCCTCATCCGTGAATACCCACCCAGGGGAACGTCTCAAAAACCCTGAGTTATCCAGACATGCCTCCATCATCTTTCAACTTTTCTCCGCGCGATATGTGATCGGAGGTGTCTCCTTCCCAAGTGGAGTAGGTGCCCAGGCTACTCAAACTATACCAGAGAACACCACCAGGAGGCGGATCACTACACCTTCCATCGTTGGCTTGTGTTTATAGTGTCAGCTGCACTCTCGCAAGCGAAGTCTTGGCGCGCACAAAGCTCAATTCGTAAAACTCTTTCTAAAACTCAAAATAACACACCCGTCGAGAATGTATCCCTCTTCTGCATCATCTTGTAAACTTGTCCTGATCCCTCTCACGTCCGTCCCAAAGAGCTATCTCCCAAAATTGTGCTCCACGCTTTGCTTCCTCCGTCGGGTGTAAATATCGGCGTGGGCGTGTATTTGGTGACCGGCTGAGGCCAGAGAAAGTCGACGAGAGGTGTGGTCATTGAAACGAGGATGTACAAGGTCGTACTTGTAGACTTGATGAAGCTTAATTGAGAATAGGACTCTTTGGGAGTGAAAGATTGACATGGTGGAGTAATTTGAATTTTTGTCTCGTGGGCCAACTTCTTTGATTTTGCGAAATTTGACTGAACTTGGCTCTGGGAGAATATTTCACTCCCAGGTTCGTAGAGAGCACCACTGACAGGTGTTCAGTCTTGCCCTCCCGATGGACTCGTAGCACGGAGACAATTAATCAATTCATTCTTGTATTCGCTTTTGCCTTTTGGCGATTCACGTGACATTCGCACGAAGACCTCTCTAAGTTTTACAGTAGCCAATTGCGAGGGCATACAGGGCGCCAAATTAGGTCAAATGTGTAAGCAGACTTATGCAAGCATAAGTCTGAACCCAGCCCATAAGCGAAAGTACGATCTACACAAGCACACATCGGTCTAGTAGTGATGATCAGGGGCGTTATTAGGGTAGAATTAGATATTATAGTGCTACAAGTCCATCGTAGCAAGGAAACAATCAATCAATTCATTCTTGTATTCGCTTTCATCTTTTGACGTTTCACATGACACTCACACGAAGACCTCTCTAAGTTTTACATGGTAGTATTATTCTTGGTTGATTAAAACAAAAATTCGACGGTGGAAGACTCATCTGGAGCTTTGTTATATCGTGGACGAATCGTTTGTGAAAATTTTAGAGAGGACTCTTAATCTTGTGAAATGTCGGCCTTCGGATTATCGAAGGCGGATCGGGAAATCGCTGCCCAAGGCATCGATGTAAATCAGACCGCTGTGGAATAGAAGCGATCGGGTAAAAATGTTGCTGGCCGCACTGGTAACGTGCCGGGAAACTTCAGCAATGAGTCCGACTTGGCATCGAATGATGGCAATAGCGAAAGCTTGAAGTCTGGATCAAAAGGCAAAGGTCCCGACAAACAATACAACGAAAGAAAGTATCAACATGAAGATGAACGTTACGAGAAGGTTTCTGAGCAAGCTAAATCTTCAAAACCGTCGTATCAATATGGTGAAGGAAGAGACCCACAAGATGACGACGAA